TTTTGAGACAGGGTCTCCCTGTAGCCCCAGCTGTCCTGGAACTCACTGTGTAGACCAGGCTGGCCTTGAACTCACAGAGATCCGCCTGCCTCTGCCTCCCAAGTGCTGGGACCACACACGTGAGCCACCACGCCCGGCTCAGGCATGGTTTTTTAAGGCACAAGTTTACCATGTTTGACCTTATGCAGGAACACTGGTAGCAGAACACTGCAGGTGCTGAGTGAATAATGCTTAGCCAACACAGCTGGAGCAGCTGGGTAACATACTGGCATGGGCAGTGAGGCTGAGGGCAAACAAGGCCACTGCTTTAAGGACTAGAAGACCCTGGTCACACATTATGGCAGCTTCAGAGACGCAATGAGGCATAAAGCCCAGTCCAGTGGGTGAGAGGGGGAATGAACTGGCACTAGGAGGTAGAGGACCACTAACGAATGCAACCAGTCTATCCAACCAATGTTGTCTCAAGGTCAGATAACTATAAGACACTCTGGAACACAAAGATGACTAGTTCTTTCCCTCCACAATTCAGGGGACAAGCAGAGTCCTGAGCATGGTGACCTACTGTGTCGTATACCCAGGACACCGTAACAGGCATTGCTGTGCATTCTGTGGCAGTCTATGGAAGGGCTCATGGGGAGGGGGCAGAAGGCATGAGCAGCAGTATTCACAGGTGCATGCACACTGGGTTGGCACTAAATAGCACAAAAACCCCTTCCTGTGGGAGGGTCAGTCTAGGATTCCAGAGAGAGGCACCTTTAACATGACTGAGCAATGAGAGTTGGGAACGAATTAAATGAAGAATATGTATGTATATTATTATATACATAATATATATGGTATATATTCTTCACGACAAAACTTTTATGGATCAGGAAGAAATTTTCACTAGAATTCAGCTAAAAAGCTAACTAGTATATCAGCAGGGGCAGAGGCAGAAGGTGGAGGAAGACTGAAGGTTTGAAAATCTGAATTCTATCACCCACCTGGGAGGACATGGACCTATCTCATTATGATTTTCCATTCACCTCAATGTTAAAGTAAAGGACTCGGTGAATGCTTTATCAGTGACCCTGAGCAGGCTCTCTCAGTGCCAGAAGTGCTATCTAGCTTTCCCTGGATTGGGAGCTGATGTTTCTTCAACATGATACCTATGGAAAAGCCTCTCAGTAAGGACATTTATACAAGTGTTCACTTACGTGGCAACTGGGGAATCGAGTAACTTCAGGAATGCACCACATAAGCCAGTGTAGGCTCACAGCTCATAAACAGGCATTCTTTCTGCAAGGCTTGTAAGGAGTGATATTCTACAACCACATAAGAGTGAGGACTCGGTCCTGGTAGCAAGAGCCCACCTGACTTGCTGTCTGTCCGAGGGTCCATGATGACAAACTCCGGTCGCAATTTGCTGATGCGCCTTCCCTTGAGGATGGGTACAAGTCCGCCCAGGTACTCCAGGTAGAGAGTGTAGCAGGGGCCACCCACTTCTGGGTCATCCTCTGTGCGCTTCATGGTGCAGTGCAGCCGCTCGTTGCCCGCTGAGGGGTAGCTGACAAAGTCTCGCATGTTGTTGGGGTCTGGAATTGGGGGCTAGAAGTAGGACACAGGTAGAAAAATCAGAGCAGGACTCCAGGGGGGTACAAGGCAGGTTGGTTACAGAGTTGCTGTCACTCTGTCAGAATGTAGGTTAGTAGCCAGGCAGAGGTTAACTATTCTGTGATACAGAATAGTGATTCAGAACTGAGGGGGCTTTTAAATAATACCTAGCTGGGATCCCACTACAGACAATTAGATGTAATCTCTGGGGACAACTTGGAAATCTACTTTTTCTGAATAGTACACAAGGGTTTCAACCTGCTGGCATAGAATCAATATTGTAAAGCAACTTAGGAAAAACAAAAAACCCCACAAGATTATAAAAGCAATGCATCAGCAGAAAGTAACCAACACATCACTCTAGAGACAACACAGAAAAACTTCCAGGGTGTCAATGGCTTAAAATTAGTGGGAACCAACATGTGAGCACCAACTGGCTCATCTTTTCATGTGTAGCTCTACACAGGCAGTTTCTCAAAGTGACAGTCCGTATAAAAAGTGGAGGTAGCTGTGCTATGTGAGTCACCGCCCCTCAGAACAGTGGGAGGACAGCAGGCCTGAGAGTTAGACTAGGTCAAACCCTGACTAGTCTCCTAACTGGCTTTGGGACAAGTCACTTCCCTTCTATGAACTTGTTTCCACTTTATCAAGTGAGAATAGTGTTAAGAGTCTGCCATCAAGTTAAGATGAAACAAAACAGATCTTCATAAAGTACTTGGTGCAATGCCAAGTCATGGGAAGCACTAAATAAACGTTGGCTCCTTTGACCATCACAGTAGTTAAGCTGGTCAGGACAAAGGTGAGGTCACTCATAGAAAGCGAATCTCGTTTGGACACTGATAGGAATGCCGGACAGGCTGCAGGTGTGCTAAGAACATACTGGACTCTGCGGAGCCTCATGTGGCCATCCCCAGGCACTCCATTGAAGTAGGCAAGCCTCTGTGTACTACCTCTGAAAGCCTCCCCCATCTTTCCTCCCTCATCCCTCCTGTCTCTGTGGCAGAAAGGAGGAAGAGAGAGGGGTAAGACTTTACCTTGATGGTGAGATGAAGGCAGTGGAGAGGTAGGAGCAAAGGTGGGGATACGGGAGCAATGTCAGCTAGCTGGTATCCTTCACTTTACCTTGATGGTGGGAATGAAGGCAGTGGAGAGGTAGGAGCAAAGGCGGGGGGGCAAGGTCAGCTTGCTGACATCCTTGTCTTCTCTCAGGGTGCTGGCGATGGCCTGCTGGCACAACAGCTGGAGGCTGGATACCCGGTGTTCCACACGAACCACATACAGGGCCGGGCCTGAGGCCATGAGCAGCCGGGAGTCCCGGTGGCCCCAGCAGATGGAAATGATGGGCCGCTGCCAAGAAAGGAAGAGAAGACAAGTTAAGCTTTTGCTCCTCTGATAAGCAAAGCAGGATAATGTACACTTGTCTCAACAAGATAAAGTCACTAGAAAGTTTGGAAAGTACTGATTTTCAAAGCACAATGGAGAATACTAGCTCTGTACAATATTATTTCCACTAGGAGAGGCAACTGCTTCTGGACACAGACACGCATATTTCTCACCCCAGTGCTCGTCATCTGGATCATCAAATTACCCAGTAGTGGTTCCCATGGACTGGGAGGTGATGAAAAGTAGACCAGTTGACCTTTCCCTTCTCTCCTAACAGCCTGAAGCTCAGAGGCAAATCAACACTGAACTTGGGGTTTCTAGCTCTGAGGTTTTGGACTGTTCTCTACGTGGAGTGCCCCACTTTTCTTAGGAGTCAAACAGGAGTGCTATGTGAACTAAAGGAGAAGAGAGTACCATGGCATCTTGGGACCCATTATGGGTACAACCCGGGTGTTACGCCACTGTTCTCAACCAACCTCAGAGATGGGTCAGTGACAGCAAACAGGCATCTCTCTGGAAAAGGGAGAGATGGGGAGGTGGAGCTCCTATGGAGGACTCGTGAGGGGCTCGTGGGGATCATTTTCTTCAAAAGCAAGCTAGAATCCGAGTATGTACATATTAGAAACTTCATGTACTGAAATAACCCCCAAATTCCAGAGTGTTATCTGAGTAAGATCAGCCAAGCAAGGAAGAGATGAACAGCTGATGGAGAAACAGCAGGATTTCTTCATGCCGATCCAGACAGATGGAGCACTAATTCAATGAGGTCTTGAGGGGTTTCAGAGATCACGGTGGGGATGCCAGATCTTTTTTATGAATGACAGATAGGAATAGAATTTTCACATTTACTGACAAACAGCAAGATAAAAGGAACACGTGAAGGTAATTCCTTAATAAAACAGCCTCCAGAGTCAGCTAATCCTGGTTTCACCTTCAAAGCAACACAAGGCTGAAGGTAATTTATCTTGCGTTTCTATCCATAAGGCCAGGCAGCCCCAGGGGGGAGGGCGGTAACAGCTTCCCCGCCAAGGAGGACCATGTCCTCAGCACTTGTTAGCCGTGGAGCCAGGAACTCAAGTCTGGAAGCCTCTGGAGCACATCAAGCTGCTGCTGCTGATTAGCTCACAGGAAGGCATTCAGAATCACTGCCAGCAACACGACAGACCACCACAAACAATACAAACAACTCTGTGGTCTCAGAGTCCTGTGACTACGTTTAGGACAGAAGCCACAGCACCAAGAATGGCTGCACTTTGTTGTTTCTCTCCCCGCCCCTCCTCCTCCTCATTCTGGTGGTGCTAGAGACTGAACCGAAGCCTCTCACAGCCCAGGCCCTCATGCTTGCTTTTAAAGGCACATTCTTCCTTTTCAGTCGATACCCCTCCAATGTAATTAATATTCCTAACTTAAAGCTTAGGTCATGAGACCTAGTCTGCAACCTAACTTGCTGGAGCTGGCTGCAGAAACACTTCTTTCCTCCAATTTTCCATTCCTCTTCTACTTTGTACAGAACTGTCTCTGTGTAATAGCTGATTACATGTTAGACAGGAAATTATAAGTATCTCTTTCCTTTTTACCAAGAATTCACACTACCAATACAGACTTTCAAATTGGATGAAAATACTCAATCCACCCATTTAAACAACAATAAGCATGCCTTCAAACTCCTTATATCCCAGTGCACAGCATATGTTCAGACACAGTCCCTTACGAGCCTCTCACTCTTATCACAGATGTCCAGTCCCACCTAACACTTGAGGAAACCGCGGTAACATTTCCAGCTAAGGAAGAGGAGAGCTACAGCTCTCAGTCCACCCATAAAGCTAGTGCTTCCACTCCTAAGTGTTGATATCCTGACACAGCAAACAGTCTGAAGAGGGTGTCCACCTTATGGAGAAAATCAACAGCTTGTTGTTAGTAAGTAAGGAACCCATTTGGTCAACACATTTACTGAAAAACCTATCAACATGTCTACAGAAAAGGTAAAAAGACAGGAAAAGAAACACACTTCAAAATCAGCACTGGATCATGACCGAGTTCATTATGGCAGGAGAGAATCCACAAGTCAGGTGGGACAAAGGCAAAGACAACTACCAGGAAGTGCGACCAGAGAACAGGAAACAGCAGAGCAATGGCATGTCTGGACAGGGAGAGAAGACCCTATTACTCCAAATTGGGCATCACGGTGAAGAAAACCATCCTGGTTTGGTCTCTGGCTTTAAGAAAATAAAATAGAAAATAAATGCTAGAGGTACCACTCACTCCAAGGGTTTAGAGAGGAGTCTCAATCCCTTGGGCAGATTTAAAATAGCATTACTAAATTGGCATTGAGGAAGATAGATTTTGTTGAGCTAAAACAGCAGCGTAGCCGGGTATGGTGGTGCACGCCTTTAATCCCAGCACTCGGGAGGCAGAGGCAGGTGGATCTCTGTGAGTTCAAGGCCAGCCTGGTCTACATAGTGAGTTCCAGGACAGCTGGGGCTACAGGGAGACCCTGTCTCAAAATGACCAAAAAAAAAAAAACAAAAAAAACCAAAAAACAAAAAACCCCCAGCAGTGTAGAACATTCTGTATCCATGCAAGGGAGAGCCAGCAGGAACTGTGCTCTTAGGCAGCATCATGAGGCCTGTTTTGTGCTTGACTTCACAAATACTCCAACTTAAATGTTTTAGGAATTCAGAAAGACTGAAAGCTTCCTACCCTCCCCTACCTGTCTCTTCTGGGTTGAAAGTGTCCCCATATTTTGAAGAATTATCCTTCAAAGTCATATGTTGCTGTTATTTGGATGTAGGACCTTTGAAAGATAATTAGGATTAGATGTAGGCATGGAAGTGAGGCCTCGTGATGGCACTAATGGTTTTAATCTGAGGATAGGGACCCCAGCTGGCACACTTGCCCTGTCTTGCTATATGATGCACTCACCACACTATGATGAAGCCAAGAAGGCCCTTATCAGAGGCTGAGATGTGAGCATTATGCTCTTGGACTTCCCAACATACAGAACTGTGTGACAAGTAAATTTCTATCCTTTATAAATTACCAGGTCTTTCTGAAGTAATTTGCTAAAAAAGACATTGCTTATCAATTAGGCTATACTTAATCTAGCACGAGAGTCATTATAAAGGACAACAGTCTATTGGTTTGAACAATCAACAGAAAGACTAAAGAACAACCCGAGGGCACGCCCTCTCTGTGCCATTACACTGAGCAAACATTTACTGAGCGTGGACTGGGCTCAGGAAGTACACTGGCGGTGGGACCACAACTGTACACAGTCTCAAATCATGAAAACAAATTCCATTATAACCCTAATCACCTGACCCATACCAAGGATCCCACCTCTAGGCTCTTCTCTGGACTCACTTCCCCACATACAACTCCCTCAACTTCCAAGAAGGAATCTGAACTTTCTATCCAACCACAGTTGTCTATTCTGTTTATTACTTCTTGAAAAGCCTTCCCACGACTTCCTGCTTGCTGCAGTCAGATCGTGAAGCCTCCACAGCATCCTCAAAGGTTCCCTAGAGCCCTTCCAGTTTCTGTTACACTAACTTTTTGAACTTCTGATTTAGGCACTTGTACTCCTGACTCTAGGAAGGTAGAGAAAACACAGCAGCACTGACTCGCACTTAAAACCATGCTGTTCATTTTCCTCTAGGACTTCATTTCAGCTTCTCCCCGCCAGGGGTTCCTTCCTCGTCCTCCCCGTGCACTGTCTTTATTTGGTCTCTTAGTTTATCAGGAAGCCAGAAGCTGTCCCAGAAACTGGTCCATCCATCTTTTCTCTAACATTGTTTTGTTTTGTTTTGTTTTGAGACAGGGTCTCACTATGTAGCCCTGACTGGCCTGGAACTTGCTACACAAACCAGGCTGGCCTGGAACTTACAAGAAGAGATCAGCCTGCCTCTGCCTCCTAAGTGTGGCGACCAAAGGAGCGCCCCACTATTGCTGGCTCCTTTTCTTTAATGCTCCTAGGGCTCTTCCTGCACTTCTCCCTGTACGTCTTCCATTTCCAGACTGTGCTGTCCTCAGACCCACGTGACCTGAGTCCTTTACTGGCTTATCAACAGTCATGTATCTGTTTCACACTGCCTCTCACTCTTTATCTGCCTTGCATGCCTTAGCCAATAGTTTTCTTAAAGTTACATCTCACATCATAGCTCTATTTCTAGGACACAAGCTGCCCGCTCACTCCTTATCTTGGCTGTGGCAGCTACATCTCCAGCATCTAGAACAACACTTGGCACACAGATGGCTCCATGAAGACTTAGTGGCTGAAAAACCTGTAACTTGACATCCACTATTATTCTGAGACAACTTACTGACTTTAAAACCTCCACAGCCAACTTTGCCATGTCTACATTCAACTGTTGTCCTCACACACTTCCCTTAAACGGCTCAAATGGCTCTTTATGATGGCTCCTTCTGCTGGCTACTTGCTAAATGAGGGGACATTACTTCAATATCTTTGTATAGGTACTCGACCCTTTCCACATTTCCCTTTTCTCTCTATTCATTCCTCAGCATTTAATCTGATTTTGCTTCAGCTATGGTTTCTATGTAGGTGACTTGGAATCTCCATCTTCAACCCAATCTCTTGCCTGGGTTCAGGCTCACATACCTACTTGATGCCTAGTTATCTCCACCCACACATTCAGCTGGACTTCTGGTTCAAAGTCAGCCTTCACTGCGGTCAAAGTCAGCCTTCGCTGCATTGGCATCTCCTTCTGCATGTCAAGGAGCCAAGTCTCTCATCTCTGAACCCTGTCTCTCCTACTCTATTTTCACTATCCTGCCTTCCCGTCCTCATTCCTCTGCCTGGGTTACAGCAGCACTATGGGGAGAAGTGCCTTTCCAAAGCCCCAGCCTGTCTTTCTCTTGCTCATAAGATAAAAATTCAGACACCAAATGTAGTATAAATCCTGGCCAGTGTTACTGTCTGAAGGTGCCCAACAAAAAAGAAACTTAAGCCCACTGTTACAGTATTAAAAGGCAAACACGAGGACTTAAGTTTGGATCCCCAAATCCTTGTTAAACAACATATGGTACCTTGTATCTGTAACCCCAGGACCCCTACAGTGAGACAGGAGGTGGAATCACGAGAGTCCCTGAAGCCTGTGGCTGGCAGGCCAGGTAGCGAGGTACACATAGCAAAAAACAACCAGAAGCTGTCTCAAACAAGGCAAAGATAGACACCTGAGGTTGTCCTCTGACCTCCATGTGACATGTGTGTGCTCGCACACACACACACACACACACACACACACACACACACACACACACGGGGGTACTTTTAGAGAGTGACTAAATCCTGAAGGCTCCACTCTGAGGAAAAGGAGGAGTGTCTGTATAAAAAGGTGAAGGGTTCTTAGAAAGCTGAGGCAGGAAGATGGCGAGTTCAAAGCTAGCCTGCATTACCTATGAAGGAGGTCAAGGCCAAGTAGAGAGCTACACAAGGAGACCCTATCTCAAAGAAGACTCAAAGATTCTGCCTTCCTGCTTGTCCAGTGGGCGATGTGAGGACACAGCAGCAGCAGGCATCATTATGGAGCAGAGACAGAGATGACTGGTGGGGGTGGCTAAAGCTGCTGGCTTCTTATCACAGACTTCCCTGTATTTAGAACCATGAGAAATAATTACCTAGTTGAAGGTATCAACCTTGGGACTGAGTCTACGACCTATTACATGCTACTCAAGTGAAGTACATGCCCCAAGTGTCAGTCTAAGGTGTTTTGTTACAGCAGTCTGAATAAACTAAGACAGTCAGGCATTCAAGATTTAATTCACTTGTCTTAAAGCACGTTTGTAGTCTTGTTTTCTATTGTTGTTTCTGCATCACTTACAGTCAACTTCTGTTTTATTTTTACAAGCAATTTATAGCTTTTAAAAAAGAAATTGTGATTCACAGTTCTTAAAAAAATGAAGTAAGCCAGGCGTGGTGGCACACACCTTTAATCCCAGCACTTGGGAGGCAGAGGCAGGCGGATCTCTGTGAGTTCAAGGCCAGGCTGGTCCACATAGTAAGTTCCAGTCCAGGACAGCTGGGGCTATAGGGAGACCCTGTCTCAAAAAGGCAAAAAAAAAAAAAAAAAAAAAAAAAAAAGAGGTAATATATATGGTAAAGAACCGTAAGTTAGCTGATTCTTGGGAATCACATAACTCATTAGCAGTGCATGGTGATCATAAGGCTCCATGAGTCATTAACCACTGAGTGCTGAGACTCAACTTGAGCTCCCGCAGTTACGGGCACCTGGTGTTCAGAGGTGGAGGACACCTGAGGCTGCTTTATTCAGGTTCCTTGTTTTCAGTGGGATGAAACCTAAAAAAAGAATCATGGATTTCAGCAAGTGCTAAGACAGCACAATGAACAAGGCAGCTGTGAGGGAACGCAGGGCGGGTATGGGAGGCCTTTCCTGTAAGGTGAGACCTGAGCTAGGACTTCAAGAGTGAAGAGAGGCTGCTCTTGAGAAAGTCAAAGCAGCCAGGGGAAGGCCTCTGGGATGGCACCCAGAGTACAGCAAGGCAGACAGAATGGACCAAGCATGGGAGAACATTAGATGAGGCCGGGAAGGCCAGGAAGAAGGTAAGAGGCAAGGAACTGGGGAGAGTTTGTGGGAGGATGACTCCAAGGAGTTTTAAGCAGGACTGATATGCTGAATAGAAACCTTACAGTGGGGTGTGAAGTGATGGGTACTGGACTAAATACATGTTCTAGACGAAAAGACTTATTCTCTTCACTCAGTGTGCAGGTCTCCAAAAACAGTAAGTTCAATGTTTCTTTATTTCCTAAATTCATGGTGTAGTAAAATTGTTCTATGACTATGAGAAACCTTAGCACGTAGCTGCAACCTTAACTCTTTGCATGTGGGCTGTAAGTCTGTTCAAATGGCTTTTTCATTCAATAAAACTTCAGTGACTTTTTACTGAATGCCTATGATGTGTAAGGCGTGTATACAACAATTAGGTATCAGCAAGGTGGACAGAACCCTGCTTTCAGCGAGCTTTAAACAATTCTTGAAGGAATAACGACAGCTTGATGGGCACTTGGGAGGCCGACACAGGAGAATCCAATACTGTGGAAAATTCGAGGCAAAGTAGAAACTGGAAGAGTGAGCCTGTGGGCAGTTGAGGAACAGAAGAACAAGAACTGGCTGGGTCAGAGGAGGATGGGGTGGCAAGAGCTAATTCCAGAGTGGAGGTCCTGCTATGGCACAAGGGGCTCTGTACTTCATCCTGATTGCAGTAAGAGGCTATATATAGGCCTGGTTGCCAAGTGCAGAATGATAAGGGAAAGGTGTGAACTCAGCTGCAGATGAGATGGTAGCGTAGTACTAAGTTGGGTGGTGGCTAAAGGAGGGTTATACACATGAGCTGCCCAGGAGATAAAAATATCCAGAGACCTGAGGTGAGTCAAGTTGATGGATGGAGCATGGATGGATGATGGGGCCATGGCCCGAGAAGAAGCCTGTCCACAAGGTAGAGCCACCTGAAGGATTGTTGGATAGGTGTGTCCTCCGAAGCATCAATAACAGATGGATGTCTGAACCCTAAGAGACTCCATAGAAAGAGAGGGAGACAGTCACCCCTCCCACCCAATCGGTCAGCTCAAATGTATGGGGGCGGGGTAAGGATAGAGATGGAAGAGGCCAAGGAGGAGGCAGGCATGTCGCCATCTTGGGCCGGTGAGCATGGATCTGGAAAGCTAAGCTAAGATATAGGGAAAAAAGCCCATGGGTGTCCATGCCTTTTTAAGTAACCCATCCTCATCACTGTAAGTTCTACTGGCAAGCCCAAATAAATATCTTTACTCCCTAAACTATAGTTTGGAGGACCATTGTGTTTGTCAGTGGGTTGGCTGTAAGGACAGAGGACCTGGGGGCTGAGAGGGTGCGTAGTGCGTTCCTCCCAGAAGTGAATTTGATTTACAGGGATGAACACGTTGACGTGCAGTGCTATGGGGCAGGTGAGCGCATGTGAAGTGCCTGGGTCTACACAGGTCTTTCCTATGCTCCAGACTTTTAGAGACATAGTAATGAAAGCTACAGGATTGGCTCAAATTGCACAAGGACTGCTGAGTGCAGTAAGAGGAAGAACCTCAGCAGAGCTGGAAAAATACCCGTGAAAAGCACGTCTCCGTAAGTACGCCTGTTCTCCATGTCATCACAGTACCCGAGGACAGTTCGAATTGAACTGTAAAGCATGCCTCTGTATGTCTATATATCTTTGTTAACTGGTTTCCAGGCCCTAGGAAGACATAGGTTGTGCCTCCTTGTTTAGTTGGTGAATGCTGGACTTTAAAGCTCAGTACCAGCCACACGATGCTCTCTCAAAATATTTGCTAGATGCTTGGATAAATGTGTGAACAAATATGCTTATATGCCCAGGAAGATATTTATACTGTCAAAAAGATACTTTATAAATACTACAGCTCAGCTAGGCATGGTAGCACATGCCTTTAATCCCAGCACTCAAGAGGCAGAAGCAAGCAGATCTCTGTGAGATTGTGGCCACCTTAGTTTACATAGCAAGTTCCAGGACAGCTGGGGCTACAGGGAGACCTGTCTCAAAAAGACCAAAAATATAAAAAGTAAAAAAATCCTATGACAACAAAACATATAGCTTGATTAAAAATGGGCAAAGGACTTGAACAGCCCTCCCTCTAAAGACTTATCAACCACTAGCAAGAGGCTCAATAACACTAATTATTAGGAAAATGCAAACTCCGTAATGAGACATCACCTCATACCAAGTAGGACAGCTGCTATAAAAAGCAAAAACAAACAAAACAACCCCCATGTCCCAACAAAATCAAACTTGCAGAAAATAACAAGTCCTGGGAAGGACAGGGAGGAAACGAGACTCTGTAATGCGGGGAGACTGTGATGACACAGCTGCCATGGAAGTGGTGGGTCATAAAGAAAACTAGAAACAAAACAATCATATCACTAAAAAATTAACTTCTGGGTACATAGCCAAAAGAATTTATAGAAGGGGCTGAAAGAGGTATCTGTACACCCATGTTCACAGCAGCATCATCTACAACCATCAAAGGTGGAAGGAACTCAAATGTCCATAGATGGATGAAAAGATAAACAACGTGCTATATTCATATAATGGAACAGTATTTAGTCATAAAAAGGCAATTTGAACACACAGTATAACTAGAATGAACTCTGAGGGCATAATACTACGTAAAAAAAGCCAGCAACAAAAGGAAAAATAACTCACTATTCCACTTACGTGAAGAATGTATGGTATAACTCACAGAGATAGTGGTACTGTCATGGACTGGGAATGGAAACTTCCATTTGTCAGCGTGTGCCCTCTCTTCATCAGGAAGATGAATCAGCAGGGAGGGATACTTTTTGTGGAGAAGGCCCCGTAACAAACCATGACATTGTCTTATATTGTTTCTGCTGAGCCTTTCCCACGCTTTTCTCTGTTCTAGCTAAGTCTTTACATCTAATGGACCCTTTGAAATCCTGCTTTCAAGTTCTATTCATGTTTGTGGGTTTCCTCCCACGCATGGAGGAGGTACACACTATTACATTCAGCTGTCTATTTTTCTCCTGTTAATCTGGAAGTCCCAATAAGAACTCACAGAAATGATTTTCCTCCCTCCCAAGCATTACCCCAAGATCTAGCACTCACTTCTGGGTCAGCACCAGGTTACTCTATTTACTTTCTACTCATGTGATTTCAAAATGGAATCAAGTATTTCTGTTAAAAGGTAAAAACTGCTTTCTTTCATATTTCCCTAGTTCACATCAATATCTCTCTCTCTCTCTCTCTCTCTCTCTCTCTCTCTCTCTCTCACAC